TTTTTTTTGGTTTTTCTCCGGTACCGGGAACCGAACTCACGACCTTGCGCTTGCCAGGCAGGCGCTTTGCCGCTGAACTAAATCCCCAGCCCCTGCAATTTTAATTTGCAAAATGGACATCCTAAACGATTTTCTTAAATTTAGATTTTGCAAACTTCCTACTCCCCAATTCATCATATAAACATTTAAAATAAAATAAAGTTACTTATGAGTACTGTGGACTGATTCTTTAGGCAGAGCATTCATTTTCCATAAATCCAGACCAAAGTGAAGTAACTGAGTTTAGTTACTGAGATTAGCCTGTGGTTTCTGGATATAACATTGGTATGCAACTAGCAAAAATACTTTAAAAAATATATTTATCTCTCAAGTAATTTAGTTTGGAAAATGTTCATATTCTTAGTCAAAAAATTATTGTAGAGTTTAAATTTTTAAAAATAGAATTGGCTCAACAATTGCCAAAATGATACTGTTGACTCCAAGCAATAACTACAACTTGATGCCCACAGAAATATATCAGTTCAGGTGAGCTCAGCTCACTTTAAAAATGTTTTTTTCCAGTGCTGGGGCTCAAACCCAGGGCCTCAGGCATTTAAGGCAGGAGTTCTACCACTGTGCTTCCTCCCAGCCCTCACTTAATTTTTCAAATCATTTCTTTTTTCCAGCTTTACAAATAAACTGAACATTGCTCAATGGTTCAGCATTACCTATGTTACGGCGAAGGGATTAAAAAGTGTTGTAGAAATTACACAGTGACTGGGTCCAATAATGGGGAAATATACAACCAAGTTTCAGAGCTACAAGGGATCTTCAAGATCCGACCCAGAAACCACAGACAAGGAAACAGGCCCACGTGTGCTAAATAACTTGGTCAAAGTCACACTCCTTGGGTGAGTCAGTCCTGCATCCACCAGTCATTCACACCTATCTACTGAAAGCGCCACCGTGCCAGGCTGCTGGGTGCTGAAAACCGGCTGAAGGCAGGACTCACGACTGCCAGGGCAGTCCTTCTCCACTGTGATCTTACAGTCCCTCCACGTCCAAATCAGTGCGAGCTCAGGGGAAAGCGCCAGAGCCTTGGCAGCACTAGGCCACTTTCAGTTTCACACATTCTAGTAAGCACAGTTGGGTTTAACTGCAGAGGCCTCAACTGTGTTTCCTTTACATGATTAAACATTAACAAAGGGAGGTGCAGTATTCTGAATGAGTTTCTTTTTAGTACATTCATAACTTAAGGAAGTGCAATCAGAAAATGCCCTACACTCACAAACAAGTTCACAGAACAGCTTAAAAACCAGAGCTGTTCGAGGTATCAATGTAGAGGTCAGTGAAGTCCGACAGGGGAAGACTACAAAGTGTGGAATGTAAATGTCTCCCCATTTCATGCAGTCCTGGGTATAATTTTCCAGATGTCTACGTTAAAAAGGTTTTCAAACTACGTTCCAAGCAATTCCCTCTTCCAGTGACACCAGGTATCTACTCACAGATAGATTTAAACCCGACCTTTCCCTCCTTAAGATCAACTTCCTTTGATTTGTATTTGATTAGGGGAAATAGGGTTTAAGGTACTAGCTAAAAGAAATCCAAATTCTATGTACCCAAATTAGCGATAGCTCAAAATGCACATTCATTTAGTGGGATTTTTACATTCTTTAATCGTAAGTCTGGCACTTAAGTGTTTTGTGTATCTCAATTCACAGTCACTTTGTTTTTTACAGTCAGCTTTTTTAAGAAGAGACACACTGACAAAGTTCTCAAACGAAACGACCTATAAGGAAGGCACTTTGAAATAGTAAACAGCAGCACTGTGTGTTTCAGGGTAACATTGCACAACGAACCTCAGCTTTCTGGCGCTCTCAAAGTCGGGGGACGGCTGACAAACCTCAGTCTTCACTGAGGCTCTGGCTTTCCTGACACTACTGTCGGCTCCAGAAAAAAGTGGCCCTGGGCCCTTCTATTTCTCAAACCTCCAGATCTGATTTTTATCTAGGGCATCACAAGTTCTCATCTGTACATCAGGCCGGCCCTCGGGTGTCCGATAAGCACTGAGACAAAGGCCTGAGTGTGGATGGAAAATGGTCCCATCGTCTTTAAAACGCCAAATGATGTTTACCGGCGCAGGGGACCCATCTTTAGGACAGTTCTGCATCCCTACGTAATTTTTTTGCTCAGGAACCTCCGCACACAACTCGGTCACGGAATTAAACCGTATCTCGTTGTTTGAAGTGTATTCGAAGAACTGGTTGCCTCCTTGGCCGTGGCATCCGAACAGTGAAAGGTTAGCACCTGTGGGGTTGTTGTCGGGAGAATTATAATCTAAACATTCAGAAGAGATCCCCAAACTGCGGATAGCCCCGTGCCAGCCCGGTCTATCCTCCGGCACGTGTAAGTTAGAAAACACGTTCTTCAAATACCAGTCGAAGCTCTTGCACCTCAGTCGTTCTCGTAACAACTTCCTCTCGGAAATATCGCCGTACGCTTCTTTGCGCGCTGGAGGGTTGCGATTGTAGAAATGCTCTTTGTACCCGTCCATCCACACTTCCGCCGCCCGAGCGGTGTTCTGCAGGAAGTTGGGGCGGGCGTAGGGCGCGCGCTTAGGGAACACGTGGCCCACGTGCGAGCACGGGTGGATCTCCAAGGTGCCGCCGCACTGCCACACGCGGAAAGACAGCTCCAGGTTCTCGCCTCCCCACACCTCCATCCCCGTGTCGTACGTCCCCAGGTACTCGAAGTACTTCTTGCTGACGGCAAACAGCCCTCCAGCCATGGTGGGCGACCTGATGGGGTCAGTCCGGGAGGTGCGCCGGTCCCTTTCGTGCTTGGGGACCGCATGCCACTGGAACGTTAACCGCCAGTCAAACCCGCCAATCATGGGCTCCCCCGTTTGCATGTAGAACTCGAAAGTGTTCCAGTCGATGGTGTCTATAACGGGACACACGACGGCTGTTTCGTCCCTGCCTATCCTCTCCAGCAGCGGCTCCAGCCAGCCCGAGTTACACTCGCAGTGGCAGTCCAGGAAAGTGAGGACGTCGCCCGTGGCAAACGTGGCTCCGATCAGGCGGGCGCGGACCAGGCCCTCTCGCTTATTGGTTCTGATCAGGCGGACGCGGTCCAGATTGCTGATGTACGTTTCAAGCTGCGTCTTCAGGTACACCCTGTCGCTCAGGTCGTCCACCAGGATGATCTCCTTGAGCAGCACGGCGGGAGAGGTCTCCAGCACGCTGTGGATGGTGCGCAGCAGGGTGGACCAGGCCTCGTTGTAGAAGGCGATGACGACGGAGGTGGTGGGCAGCCTCCTGTAGTCGTAGGTCCGGGACCTGCACTCGTACATCCTTTTGTCCTCGATGTGGCGGTGCAGGGAGATCCTGTCACTGAGGTAGATGTTGATGGCATACCTCTCGATGAGCTCCTCCGCCTGCTTCTGCTCGCCCGCGCCGAGCTGCAGTTTGCTCGCCCGGCCCCACTCGCCCAGCGCGCGCGCGTCCGCGGGGGGCTTCGCGTACAGGGGTCGGGACAGGTCC